ACTTTCAACCAAAGTGCAAAAGCAATTCAATGGGGAAAGGAAGTCTCTCTAACAAATAAGTAAAACGATTTAGAAAATCAATGACATCCACTGTCTAACAACATCATAAACATTTATTGGTAGTGGATCACAGATTTACACATAAAAGTTAAACCTGTATTTTACTATTGGAAGAAAACATATTTGTGGCTCTGGGCTAGGCAAAGATAGATATAAAAGGACATTAAAAAAACTATAAAAGAAAAAATAAAATAGACCTCAAAAAATTAATAATTTCTGCTCATCAGAAGATAAGAAAATGAAAAGCCACAGACTTAGAGAAAATCATAAAATACATATCAGAAATGGGCCTTTTATATAGACTATACAGTATTCCCCACTTATCCATGGGGAATAAGTTCCAAGACCTCCCACAGATGTCTAAAATTGCAGATAGTCCTGAACCCTGTATATACTATGCATGATTTATTTTTCCCTCACAATTTCATGGACAAAAGATTCATTCTTACCATAGATTTTAGCAACTTCAACATATGATTTTTTAATTCTTTCCATATTAAGTCAGGAACTTTCACCTTTTCACTTAAAGGAAGCACTTTCCGGCTTCTCTGGCATACCTGAATTTCCATCACTGCTCTTGTGCTTTAGGGCCATTAAGTAAAATAAAGGTTAACTGAACACAGCATTGATACTACAACAGTCGATCTGATAACCAATAGACTGAAAGTGGTGGGTAGTCTAGACAACGTGGATATACTGCAAAAAGGGATAATTAATGCCCTGGGTGGAGAGGTGGGAGATTTCACCATGTTATTCAGAATAGTGCATAATTTAAAACTCAGGAGTTGCTGGCTGGGTGCAGTGGCTCACGCTTGCAGTCCCAGAGTTCTGGAAGGCTAAGGTAGAAGAAATGCTAGAGGCCAGGGGTTTGAGACCACCCTGGATAACACAGTGACACTGTTTGTTTCTACCAAAAAACCCAACCAAAACAAAAACTAAAAATTAGCTAGGGATGTTGACGTACACCTGTAGCACCAGCTACTCAGAAGGCTGAGATAAGATCACATGAGCCCAGGAGTTTGAATTTATAATAAGCTGCAGTCATGCTACTGCATTCCAGCAAGACTTTGTCTCTTAAAAAAGCCAAGCAAATGAACAAGAAAGCAACCCACTCCCCCCGCCCCATACATCAAAAACCCTAAGTTATTCAAGGAATTTTCCACTTAATGTTTTTGGACCACTGCTGACCAAAGATAATTGAAACCAAAAAAAGCGAAACTAAGGATAAGGCAAATTCCTGTATTTTACAGAAAATATCTATAGTCAAAAGAAATATAAAAATGAGGAAAAGATACTTTTAGTTAAATATGTATCTACTAGATGCCTTGGAAACTCTACTCCTACATGTTTGCCCAAGAGAAATAAAACATTGCCACAATAAGACTGTATACAGCTTTATTCACAACAGCTCCAAACTGGAAACAACCCAGCTGTCCACCAACAGGTAAAAAGCAAATTCTGCATATTCACATAATGCAACACTACTCTATAATTTTTAAAAAGGCACAATAAATCAACGCAATAACATGGATGAATCTTGAACATGTTTTGTTAACCTAAAGAGTCTAGATGTAGTACAAGTATATATGATTCCATTCATAAGAAATTCAAGAGCAGACAAAAGTAATCTATAGTGACAGCAATTACAACAGTTATCGTCTGTTCTAATGGGGTATGGAGATTCACTGGAAGGGAAAATATAGGAAATCTGTGTTAATGAACATAGCCTATACCTTGACTGAAATATGGCTGCATAAATGTAATTTTTTTAAAACTAACCCAGTTAAGCCCTGGGTATTTCACTGTATTCACATTTTACCCCACACAACATAGACACCACCATTATTACCACCACACTGATAACATTTAGAGAGCAGTGAGGGAATCACATTATTTGAAAATGAGTAATGGGTAATAATTAAGCACTATCTTATCTGATATGTGCATATTTATATACATGTGTACAGATCATATATGTGGATCTGTAATTTGGGTAGTCACAGAGTTTTTCTTCAAAAGTATTACAGGTAATGAAGGAGGAATAAAGAATTCGAATATCACAATTTTGCAAAACTTTATGAATTAGCAAATCTAGGCAATCAGAATCCATGATAAAAATTACCAGAAAAGACAAAGCGAATGAGACTAAATTACCCCTACAAACCAATATCTATGAGGTATTTGGGAAGGAAATAAACTCTGAATCTTTTTCTTTTTGTTGAGATAGAGTATCACTCGTGTCCCAGCTGGAGTGCAGTGGTACAATCTAGGCTCACTGCTATCTCCACTTCCCAGGGTCAAGAGATTCTCTGGGATTACAAGTGCCTGCCACCACATCCAGCTAATTTTTGTGTTTTTCAGTAGAGACGGGGTTTTACCATGTTGGCCAGGCTGGTTTCAAACTGCTGGCTTCAAGTCATCTGCCCGCCTCGGCCTTTTTTGCATGTCTTTTTTCAGTTGCTGAAAAAGCTCTCCCTGATTTTACTTCTTGTTGACTTCCTAGAAACATCTTTCCAAATGTCCCTCTCCGTGTCACTTTTTCAAAGTTAGGAGCAGGGACTGCAAGTTTTTTTGACTGGTAATTTTTGTTTCAAAGGTTTGATTCAGATTCAGAGTTGATTTTGCCAGGCATGGTGGCTCAAACCATAATCTTGGCACTTTAGAAGACTGAGGAGTTTGAGACCAGCCTAGCCAACGTGGCAAAACCCCATTTCTATTAAAAATAGAAAAATTAGCCAGGCGTACTGGTGCGCACCTGTATTTCCAGCTACTCAGGAGGCTGAGGCAGGAGAACGACTTGAACCCGGGAAGCAGAGGCTACAGTGAGCCCAGACCGCGCCACTGCACTCCAGCCTGAGTGACAGAGCAAGACTCAATTTAAAAAAAAAAAAAAAATTTAACTGAATCTTATTTCTAGTGGTTTACATATTAAATATGTTGTTAATTTTTAGCTGAAATATATTAGACTCACGGTTTTTATTTTTATGAATTCTGCATACAATAAATACTAACCAAAATACCTACACAGGCACAGTACTGCCAGTTCAGTTTCAGACCATAGCAAATAAGGTGATGATGGCAGTTAAGTGAGTCATACAAATTTTTTTGTTTCCCAGTGCATATAAAAGTTACGTTTACACTATACTTTGGTCAAGTGTGTAATGGTATTATGTCTAAATATTAATACTGTCTTAATTTAAAATCATTGCTAAAAATGCTAATGAATTGAGCATATTTGTTGGAAAATGGTGCTGACAGACCTGCTTGATGCAGGGTTGCCACCAAAAAAACTCAGTATCTGCAGAGCACAGTAAAGTGAGATGCCCGTATTGTCCTTTTTCCCCTGTTATTAAAAGCATTAAGTCTTCAACTATCTACTTGTAGACTGTTTAATGAATTAATATTTTCATATTTATATTGACAAAATAAGCTGAATTTAGTAAGAAAAGGTTTAGAATATCATCAGCTACTCTGTCATTTTTCACATAACACTAGTTTGCCCTTCAAACCATACATTTAAAAATGATCTTAAGATACATACCAAGTATGGATTATGTTGTTATAAAAAGCTAGAAATAAAATTAAAACCTTAATTTCAAAGATAATTTCTCTTACCCTTCAGAGATCATTTGACTTTTTTCATAACTATTAGAAATTGTATGTGATAAATCATATTACAGAGATATTGCTGTTATATTCTTTGTGACTAACAAGTAGGGTTTTCCCATCACCATGTTATTCCAACCCTTTAATGAACCACCTTTTAAACTCTGAATAGATAGCAGCACAGAGGTTGCTAAGAGTAAATAACATTCACCACTGCTGCCAGAAATGACCAAAGGTGCATCAAAATGAAGAAATACTGGTAACTTCCCACAAACCAGGATGAAGAACCTTATAAAACAACAGAACAGATGAATATAATGTAACATACAGCCATCCCTTGGTATATGTGACAGGGATTGGTTGCGGGACCGCCTGTGTATATGAAAATCCACGCATACTCAAGTTCCACAGTTGCCCCTGCAGAACTGGCATACATAGAAATCAGCCCCCTGTATATACAGACTCCCACCAATACTGGATCTGCCAGTAGTTGAGAAAAAAACCCTGCATGTTAGGGGAACCATGAAGTTCACAGCTGTGTTGTTCAAGGGTCAACTAATATAAAAATAATGTTTATTGCTAGATAACTGATATTCATTCTAGTGTTTACATACTTGAGTCTTAGAGCAATAATAACCTTTGGAGACAACTTCCAGGAAGGTACCTGTTTGCATGCCTTCTCACTGCAGTCCACCAGTGGGTGCCAAAAGTGTATCTTTGTCTCTTGACCCAATCTCAGCAGGGGATGGGGAAGCATATGTCTTTCAGAATTGGATGGCAGAGTACACAGAAGTAGACAGTACAGTAGTAAGGGCATTTACTTAAAAGCAGATAGAACTGGGAACCTCCACATCTTTCTGTGGGAATTCAGGGTTCAGTTTCTTAAGGTGTAAAATGGAAACACTAATATGTACCTGGACATATTAAGAATTAATTGAAAGACCGTACCATTTCACTCAAAAAGTGCTTGATCCTGAGTAGCCATGTAACAGTTCACAAATGTAGAATTCAAAAGAAAGGAAAAATATGCAGAAGTGGCAGCCTTATTTTAATTATCTTATCAGCAGTAAGAATACTCTAACCAGTATCAAAAGAAATATTAGATAATCTGTACCCCAAATGCAGGAGAAAATATGAGACTTACATATAACAACACTTCATCACAAGATTAACTCTGAAAACTGGTGATTATATTACAAAAACAAATCTAAGTATATAGATGAGAATTTGTGAGTTTGCTTATTTGGGAATTAGTACCTAGAGATAAAGGTCTGAAGCAAAATCACACACCCCTTTAATGAATCAAATCTTCTTTGAAGAATTAAGTACCTCACCTAATCAGAACAGAATCCCTGGTATAGCCACCGTCATATTCTGTAGTTTCTTCTAGTGCCTGGAAATCTAGATTCTGCAAATTCAAGAAAATATGTCTTAGTATCTCCTATACTGCTGTATCATTACAAACAATAAATCCATCCATTACTTTTTGCAGACACCTGCTTTCTTACCCGGCTTCCACATATAAGCAATTCAATTTCTTCTGGTCTGAATAAGTACTTTAAGGGAGATTCATTGGTCACCATATGAAAACCTCTCCGAAAAGCCTTGAACTGTTTTTCTACTGATTTATTGAGAATGTAGTCAGAATAAAGATTGACAAATTCCTGTAGGAAACATTAATCACAAGAACTTCTTATAATATGCTATGCAAACAAAACACAAGTTATTGGGCTGCATAGCTTTTTAATTTTTCCAAGAAAAAAAATTCAAGAATATGTTTAAAAATTCAATTTTACACCTACAAAGAAAACTACTACTAATAATTTCACAATTCTCTGTTATAGCCAATATTAAGCTATGAAAAGGCCACATACATAAAACTGTCATATATGATATAAATATCAATTTTGATACTGTATTAAACACAACGAAATATAAATGCTAGAGATGCATAAAACTTTTTAGGTTCCCTCAACTAGGTATGCTAACAGAAACATTTAAACCGTGTATCCATCTATTTATAAATGCCAACATTTTAAGAGAGTACAATGTATTTGATTTGAGCAAATCAGAAAGTCCCATGTTTTCTAGCACAGAATATTTGGTAAGCTGCCTACTATATCCAGTTAGCAAAAATATTGAAGTGTTGACTCACACAAACTACTGTATCAAATCATAAAAGGAAAATGTGCTTTGTACCCTTAGTGTGTATAATATTTAATCAAAAAATATCAATAGAAACATGTTTCTTAAAGGTATACTGTATCTCTGTCATAATTTTTTCCTGTTATGGGTTATTCCCATTCCAGACGAACACATTTTAGTCAAAAGAAACCCACATCTGATGTAAAAAATCCTTTTCAGAAATGTCTTTATATCACAAAGAGGATACACGTGTAAATTAGGTGTAATTTTTGTCTGTGACAAGGTTCCTGCTTACAGCTTCCTACGGAAAATACCCTGCCTTTTGCTTTATCCTCCAGCCACACGTAGCTATGAACTACCTCCTACGTCATGTCCTCTTTCTCTAAAACGGGGTTAGTGCCCAACGGTGTGCTTTCACACCAACCTACACCTAAGATTTAGAAAACGGGACTCTGACATTTACATAAACTTGCTTACTGGATTTCCTGTGTTTTTTTGTACAGACTATAGTAGATACTTCTTTAAAAATTATAAGCATACATGCTTTGAAACTGTTAATGAAGAGACAAAAAATGATGACACAAAACATTTATTACCTTCCTGTTTTCATTTGTAATTGGAATTTTATCACCATTTTCCTTTAGATCATACATCATTGGGTTACCAAAAAGATCTGTTTGTGATATCTGGAAAGTGATCATCATGTCATCTTCCACATTCCCTTCATACTCCAATAAATCTTTTAAACTCTGATATAGAACCTAGCAACCAGAAATGGTAAATTGAGGCCACTATAGAACTATAAAATACAACAAGTAATTTATATCACCCTTCTTTTTTAAAAGACAATAAAAACAAAAACATTATCAATGAAAATTGTAAAAAGGACAGCTAGTATCCCTCCAGTCCCCCAAATAGTTTCCAACCTACAAAAGAAAAACTGGCAGTCACTGTTATGGCCCATTCTCTGCTAAAAAACCCACACCACCAATTTAGCAATAGATTTCACACTGTGCTCTATGAGAAATTCTGTAGTGTCTCAAGGTGGGGCTGGGGGAGGTGGAAGCAGGCATGCTAGTGATAGCTACCAAGCCCCTTAGCCAGGGCTGCTCTGTTTACCTGTTCATCTCATAAGATTTCACTAAAATAAAAACAAAATGTTTAGAAACATTTCTCTATGGAATCAGTCTTAAAAAGCTTCGTGCTGACAGCAATATATAAACATTTCCCCCTTTGAGTTTTTAAGTGTTCATGGTACTTCGGTCAGATTAAAACATTTTTATCTTACGGATAAAAGTATCAATAAAGATTCTAAATGAAAACTTTTAAAATTTTAATATAAATTAAATTGTATATTTGCATTTAAATTAAATCAAAGAGACTGAATTTAAAAAATGACAACTTACTGGGTGAGAGTCTCCCAAGTCACGAAAAGTTCCTTTTTTCCCCATTAGCTTCCTGTAGACAACCATGGGAAAATGTACATCCAGTATACAGTTATTGTAAATAGCCAGACCCAGTACTATGCCAATCAGAGTAAACTGACCCTCAGTTTCAAAAGAAGATGGATTAAACCAAAACAATTTTGTAGATTCATCGTATGTGAACATACCTGTAAGAAATGATTTTTAAAAATACATTACTTTTGTATTTTATTAAGAACTGATGAATACAAATATAAATTTAAAGTAATTACACATATAAAACATTAAAAAATATATGTAATTATGCATACATTGATTTCTATTAGCACTTGAGAAAACACTGTCCACATATGTTATAAATTGTGGTGAATGTGGTATGTAATTTTATGAAGCCAAAGAAAGTCCTAAGTAATTTGATGGCACTGAGTAGAAGAACATGTTCATTAAATTCAACATTTCTGATTTTCTACTAACACATAGGAAAAGCTACATTCATACTTTACCCATAGCGAAAAAATAAACATTAAAAAAACCCAAAGGCTATATTTTGAAAGTGTTTCATTTATAAAAATATATTTGTATCACATGTACTATTTTTAAAAAACAATTTTTAATCACAGTAAGGAAAGGTTTGTTTTTTCAAAATTAGATAATGCTGCCATGAAATTTTTCTAGCATTTTCCTAACAAAATCAGATGATCTGAAGTACATAAACTTGGATTAATCTGATAAACTTAGATCAACAAAGCTATTTAACACCTATGCTGTGGGCCAATATGTAAAACAAAAGTCGTTTCAATTTCACATGGTCTTCACTATGCAAACCCCAATCGTGGAGACCTTTTTTATATCACTCATTGGAAAACTGGGGTGGGGCGTGGTAGTTCACGCCTGTAATCTCAGCACTTTGGGGAGGCCGACACAAGCAGATCACCTGAGCTCAGGAGTCCAAGACCAGCCTGGGCAAGATGGCAAAACCCCATCTCTACAGAAAACACAAAAATTAGCTGGGTGTGGTAGCATACACCCGTAGTCCCAGCTACTTGAGAGGCTGATGCATGAGGATGGCTTGAGTCTTGACCCAGGAGGTGGAGGCTGCAGTGAGCCAAGACAGAGCCACTACACTCCAGCCTGGGCATCAGAGAGCCCGATGCTGTCTCCCTCCACCAAAAAATAAAAAAACCAAAGATTCCAATTTTTAAAAAATCTACCTGAATATTACTAAGAATTGATTTCCTCCCTTTCAAATGACTAAGGGAAAATTTTTTTTTTTTTTTTTTTGAGACGGAGTTTCACTCATGTTACCCAGGCTGGAGTGCAATGGCGCGATCTTGGCTCACCGCAACCTCTGCCTCCTGGGTTCAGGCAATTCTCCTGCCTCAGCCTCCTGAGTAGCTGGGATTACAGGCACGTGCCACCATGCCCAGCTAATTTTTTGCAGTTTTAGTAGAGACGGGGTTTCACCGTGTTGACCAGGATGGTCTCGATCTCTTGACCTCGTGATCCACCCGCCTCAGCCTCCCAAAGTGCTGGGATTACAGGCTTGAGCCACCGCGCCCGGCCGGAAAAAAAATTTTTAATTGAATTTAGAATTTTTTCATTTTACTAAATGTTGCTTAGCTGCACTGTGAAACTGAATGAAAACATCTTAAGAATTAAGTCTGAAAAAAATCTGTAATTTCCAATAGAAAAGTAGAGCTTAGAAATTAGAAATCAAATTATATAGCATTTAAGTATTTTAACCGTAGTTTATAAAAGGACCCTTAAAATGTCTCCTTGATCACTAGGAGCATGAATTAAGCTTAAGACATTTTCTGAATGTAAAATGATTTGAAAATCAATTCATGTTTGAGTTTTGTGGTTTCTATCTAAACATTTTTTAGAGACCAAGTTACAACATCCATGGAAATACTTTTAGTTATAAGTATGGTATTAACAGGGTCAAGAACAGTTGACAAGTAATACAATTAATTAATAAATTTGTTCAAGCTAGCAATGGTGTATTTAAAAAAATAAACTTGATAAAATGTCACAAATGCACTTCCCTGGTCTCAAGAACAAGAAACTATAAATTAATCGGAATATAACTTTGAAGTTCCATTTGAGGCACATTTTCTCACATTTCAGGGAAAAAGGGACCATAAAGAATGCCTCCAGTAAAACATTAGTTTTGATACTTTTACTGCCATCACTTCAGTTACCTTATTGGAACTGCTTAATCTATGTTTTTTCTTACAAGTATTTCTGCATATAATGCAAGTGTACTTTAGAGCTAATGCTTAATATTTCTAGATACATGAAAAGCTAGAGCTAAGGTTTATCAAATTTAAGAACCTTATGAAGTTCATAATTTTCTATCTCAAAAAGGGCATGGTCTTAGGTATCTCTGATTTACTTTGAACAAACTACACACAAGTTAATAACAAAACACTAGCTAGAGTGTAGATAAGGGGTGTGTGTATGTGTGTGTGTGATTAAGAACAGTAACAGAAAGGTCAACTCAATTAGAATGAACAGGCTATAACAGCTCAAATTGCAAAGCTGAAGGGAAATGACACACATCATTCTATGCACACTCCTCACAATTCTGATGGTACCTTCAGTGGAAACCTTTTCCTATAATTGTCATGTACTCAATTTTAAATGTAAGCAAGCTCAGTCACTAAATGGTTGTATTTACAATAGAAACTGAACCAGTTCAGAATTATGCAGTTAAGTAGACGACCCGAAAGACTGCATCTTTTCCCTGTTCTACTTTATCACAAAAGGGAAAAAATTAAAATTCTGATCCTTCACTTTCAAATTAACATCCCATCAGCCTTTATCAAACTGTTCAATAACTCTTCTGGGAGACAAAAAGGTTTCTCAAGTTCAAAAAGTTTGGGGGAAACATTACCTACATTAAGCCCCAAGAAATCTTATAGCAAATAAATCTAATTAATGGGATATCAGCTAGTGTTTTCTGAAGTTTGAGCATGACATAATTGTGAAACAGTCTCTCAATATTCTTCTAACCATTGTTCTTTGAAACTCACAGGTCAGGAAAACCATGAGTATGATGATGGTTTTAGATAACAAAAAGCAAAGAAATCCCTTCAAGTGTTCCAATGTACCATTCTAAAGTGCTTTTCAATTCAATTTACCAAAGAGATAATTTCCTTCATTAGAATATATGACTAAGAAATAGAGGTACTTGAATAAATTAGTGATACATATCAGTTCTTAAAACCTACAAATTCTATCATGATATGTGATTCCAAGTAATCCGTACCAAATCCTTCTTTAGCAGCTCTTCATAGCTGAGAATATTTATAAACCAAGATAAATAAGTAATTCAAAAAGACAATATGACACCATAATCACATTACTAAAGTATTTACCAATATCTGGATTGAAGATTTCCTCCACAACCAGCTGAAAAAATTCTTTGGAAACACCTCCCTCATCAACTCCTTGTTCTCCTTCAAATTCCACATACAACTGCTTCTTCAAGTCTGCAGGATTTTCCATAGCGATCATCTCTAGC